TTTTTTTTTTATAGTCAGTTTTTGGTTTTGGTAGTGTTAATATTGGTTTAGTTCTGGTATCATAGTAATTATTTCTAAAGTGAAATTTGTTTGATAGATATTGAGGTGCAAGGTTGTTCATAATTTTAAACATGATAATAGTCTCATTTATATACAATCGTTGTTCCAAATTCATCCATTTAAGGCTTTGAAGAGCTTGTGTACTGGAGTCACTTCTTGATTTGTTTGTAATAATTTTTGCTGCCCGGTTTTGAAGAATTTGAAGCGTTTTACTTTGAATTTGATTTGAGCGTCCCCATACCTGTCTCTTATACACATCTAGATGTGTATAAGAGACAGATATGTTTCGGTGCTGCGGTTTTTAATATTTTGTTTTCATATTGTTACTTGTTACTTGTATAGCGTTTTTCCTTGTAGTTACGGAGCGTTGTAGCCACTCCACGAAAGTCAACAAAATCTCCCCGAGTAAAGCTTGCACAACCAAACCCAAACAAATTATACAAACTTGAATAAGGCAAATAAGGAGGTAACTCAAAGCAAAATGGTTCGATAGAAAAATTAGAAAACAAACAAAACAACAAACAAATAAGATCTTAAGCAAGGTGAAACAAACACATGTATTTTGTTGATTTTATAAACACAGGCCACAGTTAAATTGGCTACCAAGTCTTAACCATTGCAGATAACTTGCTTGAGATCGGTGATGTCATCTTGTCATCTCAGATCGATTTTACGTCTCATTTTTTTCCAATAATTATAGGTCTAAGGCGTATGTATACACACTGAAGTGTTGGCGTGTATAATAATGGTCAAGAGAAGTTTAAACAATGTAGACGACTCTTTATCTCAACAGTATTTGGTAGCACGTGCGTAGACGAAAACTTGTCTCCTAAATAATCAATGTATCTATCAGCAAATGTGACCATAAAAGAACTTACTGACATAAAAAAAGTCATGACACGTATCCAACAACAAACCTTTTTTTTTGCATAACGTACCGAGGTTTCTTGTCTTCCATCGTTCAACCACTTGTGTTTTTTGTGTGCAAATGCGTAATTATTTTCATAATATTGTTTGAAGGTTTGCATGGCGAAGTAATAATATACTTATATTAATGCTTGCTGTATACCACGTAGATAGTTCTGAAAAGAAGTGTTGTTGGTTGAGAATGTCTCGACGTTTCGATTGAGATGCTTCAGTCGGCTCCAGGAGAATAATAGACCTATCTGCAGAAAATTCCAAACAGGGAAGTATGCACGCCATCGTGTTCAATATTTTGACATTATATTATATGCCATCATTATTAATTGCCTCCTTGTGTAAAATAGTCGGTTGAGATTATAACTTCAATTGTTTAAATGTTTCTTGTATACATTACATTATGTTAGTCCATTACTTCAGCTCTGCGCATACCCTTAATTAAGGCTAGGCTCAATATATATTCAATAAATGAAATCGGTAAATAGGATAGGATGTCTATCAAGGCAAAATAACCAGTTAAGAGTCTTCTATCCGCCTATGACGAACACAAAAGGAGTTGCATACAAGCTGGAAATTTGAGATTTCTGTTTACCCGTAACCGGTTTCAATACAATTATTGTCCTCAAAAACAGCCTCAAACTAGTTGCGCAGAGCCGCGAGTGCTTGCCTATATAACGTCGCAACTTATATGCGAAAACAATTTTGGTGCTTTCTCTAAAATAGTTGTACATTAATTCTCGGCCTGTGTCCGCGTGTTGAATTGTAATTGTGCTAAGCTCTCCACTGATTGTCTGTGTGACTGTATATGGCGGCCTTCTACTGTGCGTAAGACCTAATGCGTCAGATGGTGATCTTTATCTGGTACGCATACTGCCTGTAGTAAAGTCTTAAAAACACAGAAATTGAACTGAAACAATGAAAAGGTCAATTTAAAAGGATAGAATACGTTATCAATAAAAGATAGGTGATCGAAGAAATTCAATTTTCAGTTATTATTACAGACTTAAGACCTGTCCAGACTATAAAATTTTCTTTGACAAGAAACTTTTGTATGTTTATAATATTTATATGACGTGATGTCATCATGACCATATTTAAGCATGTCACATGTTTTTGTCAAATAAAATGTGATAGTCTGTACTTGGCTTACAAATCCTTAAATTGCTTTAATTTTGCTAAGAATATATAAATTAAATTAAATGTATGAATGAATGAATGAACGCATGAATGAATGAACGCATGAATGAATGAATGAATGCATGAATGAATGAATGAAGGAGTGAATGAATGAATGAATGAATGAATTAATTAATTAATATAAATGAATGAATGAATGAACATAAATGAATGAATGAATGAATGAATGAATGAATGAATGAATGGAATATTGACAAGAATATATTTGTTCCTTCAAATTTTCATTTGAAAACTAATAATTTTTTCTATTGAAATTCAATTCAATAAACTAGAATTTTCTCCCCAAATCATTAGCGTGAATATCGGTAAGGCCTACTGCATGCGTTACTTCGTATAAACCAATCTTCTCAGTTTTGACTCTTAACCATAGGGATTTCTTTTTCTTTGTTTTTCGTGCACTTTCATAGGATTCTAATTCATTCATTAACATTGCATCATGAAACAATATTGGGAACATATAAAACTATTGTTGTTTTAATTACGTTTCTGCTGATTTCATATTATAAATGGATTGTATTTGCATATTGCAAATTATTGCTATAGATTAGTTCTAATTCTACTGTAACAAATTATGTCAATAAAATAAAATTATAAAGAATTGTATGTCATCATTATATGAAAATAATAATAATAATAATAATTTTGGCTTATATAGCGCATTATGCTAAAGCCTCAATGCGCTTAACAGTAAAAATAAAATTCGGGGGAAAAAAATTAAGAAAAATACAAGTTAAAAAGGGGAGTTTTTAAAGCTGCCTTAAAATCATCAATGGAAGTTGTCTGTCGGATCGTAATAGGCAGAGCATTCCAAAGAAAGACAGAAGCCCAAGAGAAAGAACGACTACCATAATGCTTTGTTTTTGAAAACATGCCAAAACCCCTATAGGGGACAATTGCACTTTTTTTGTTAGTGTCCCCTACCCCTATTCAGGGGACACTTTTTTTGGTCCCGAAGGTGTCCCCTTAATATAGGGGTCACTGTAATTTTATTATTTTTATGTTTATTAGTTTAAAGCTTACGGTAGGCCAGTCTGTAGTTCTCGCCAACAATTGAATTTTCCCAATGATGTTATTTGCACTTCCACTTGAAGAGTGTTAAGAAACACTGTGTGTCGTGCTTAAAGGACTGTTGTTTCAGTGTATAGCAACCGTATACAATGCATCAAATTTTACCATTGTTTGCGTATAGGCGATGTGGTTCCAGATCGATACCGTGGTATGGTCTGTTCATTAGGTAGTTATATTTTGGATCATTTGAAGCTGGTCTGTCAAGTGAACGAAACGCTATACGTCCTGCCCAATAAACTTCTCGTTAGGCCTCTCATTTGTACCAAGGAAATATAAAGATTGTATCGCGTGCATAGAAATACAATATTTGAAAATGAAAGTTGGATATAGTCAGCTATGAAATGTTTAAGCGGTTGCAGTTTCGAATATGTAATATTTCCAAGTAAGTAAACAATTTGTCTATGCTACCAGCGCAATAGACGTCCATGTTATGTACACTTATTAACGCTATTATTAATCATGCAGGTTCGTTACCTTCAGGAATTTCTTTTGGTTTGTTATGCACTCGGCCTTAATACTATAATGGTTGATGGTTGCTCTCATTTAGGGCCCCCATTTTCTTCTACTTCTACGACGACATTCTGATATTCCAAAGGTTTGGATGTTCCACAAAGGTCTTAATTATATACAGAGTGTGCGTGCAGATCACCGAACGTCAAAAACAGTAAAATAGAGTATAAAGTGGAATTTAGTGACGATAGGAGTCTCGGGGAATGTGAATTAAAGGTAAATTTCAATATAATATAGGCAACTATCACATGTAGAATATGTCAGCCTTCTTACTTCAAGTCTTTATTTCAGTCTGTAATTTCTCTTATTGTAGTCGTTTAGGAAAATAATTTTAGGCCTAATTGTATTTTATATGCTACGACTCCGCAAATACCAATAAAAAAAATAGTTTACACTATGTTTAAGCATGGACGTTAATAATAATAATAATAATAATAATAATAATAATAATAATAATAATAATAATATAATATTATGAATTTTATTAATAGATCTATGGTTTAGTTTTATTTCTAACATCATTAATCAACCGGAATCGACATCCGTATGTCCTATATCTCATTGTACATCGCATTTACCATATAAAATCTTGTACCGTTTCTTTGAAAGAGATTCGTCCAAGTTCGGTCATAGAGGAATTAGTTTAACTTAATTAAATTTAATTATCCATGGTTGAGTTGGCTTGATTTTTCCCACGATCGGTTACGTTTTGTACTAACCGTGAGGTAAACAAGACCATGGAAAAAATTATGCTTAGACCAGGGAGGTATTTAGGCAATGATCACAATAGATCTATAAGACGATTACACGTCAAACTGAAGACCTCTGCCATTGTTGGGCAAATACGTTAGTACCGAGAAATAAGATAGGAGTGTTTTTTTTTTTTAATTCAGTACCAAGAAATGAGATAAGCCTAATTTGTTTCTACCGTGCACATGCACTAGGCCTCGAACCTTGGAATTTAAATGATTCAAATGATCTGATTTAGAGGACCTTGTATATCCAAGACTATAGCTTTCTTTGCATTATCGCCATGGATCAATCCTGCTAGAGTAAAATTGCGTCATACCGTAATGATATCGAACGTGCCTTTGTGGTCTAAACGATATGACGCTCACCGGAGATAGTAAGATTGCGGGTTTGGTTCCCACCAGATGCTACTTTTCCATATAGAACTATAATAAAGAACTTT